ATGTGCCAGATTTCATCCCTCGCTCGCACACGCACCTCCCATCGCGCCCCGGCTTTCTCCGGGAGGCTCACAATAGGGGCCTTGTGGAGACCTGAGTGGCCAGTGGAGCCTCTGTTCTTCTCCAGATGAAGCTGTTCATTTGTATTCAGTGGAGCTCGGGCGCAATCACATTCATAAATAGACTATCACGCCTGTGAATAACTGCTTTATGGTTTCTCTGACTGTGAGGGGCCGTGATGGTGAGAAAGTCTTACGTTTTATGGTAGGAAGTGTTTGGGATGAGCAAGACTTCATGGACTCTGACAGCTAGTCAATGCAATCAGTTCTCGAATTTCTAGCTATAGAGGATCTACATGTATAATCAAATGACACTGAATATTGTGAGCTAGAAGTCACATAAAGTCAACTATTTTTAATATAACAAAGAAGAAAGGGATGAAGTTGTCCATTATCCTACTTTTCACAGATACTTGGAAAATAAATAAATGTACTTAAAATGCTGATTTGAGTATTTGAGTATTTTATTATGCAAGGAGAAAGACACTGCTAAGTAAACTAGCACATTCAGGAAATGAATTGCTTGGGACAATGGTCAATTATACACATTAGTGGTCATTATTCAAACCTATTTAACTGTAAAACGCTGTGATTGACCAATAAGAATCAAGCATTCTACATAGCTGTGTCACTTTGACAATAATGTACACTACATTATGTAGACTACATAGTGTACATTAAATAATGTACACTACTGTTCAAACTTTTAATGTCTTTGAAAAAAGTCTCTTATGCCCATCAAGGCTGTATTTATTTGATCAAAAATAATATGAAATATTATTACAATTTAAAATGACTGCTGCATATTTTAATATATTTTAAAATGTAATTTATTCCAGTGATGGCAAAGCTCAGCATCATTTCTCCACTCTTTAATGTCACATGAACCCTCAGAAGTCATTGTAATATGCTGATTAGCTTTTCAAAAAAATATTTTTAAAACAGATGTTAAATATTTTTATAGATACTGATACAGGATTCTTTGATAAATAAGATGTTTTTTTAACAACATGTACTTTTTAAAATCAAATGAATGCATCATTGCTGAATAAAATAATTTTATTAATAAATATTAATAAATAAATCTCACTGACCTCAAAGACAGTGTATGTTTATTGTCATTTAGGCATGTTATTACCATCATCTAACCATCGTCTCAAGTAAAACCTAGCTGAGAAACGAACACGTTTTCAACCTGATCATACTGTGGTCACAGCATGTCATACTTGAGCATAACCACACTATGTACTAAAAGAAGTGGGCCACAAAGCACTAGCCAGTTTTGATAGCATTGTGTTTGTGGAGTGGGTCTACGTCTTTTGTTCCTCATTTGACATCAGAGCACTTTACAGACAATGCATTCCTGGAATCAAGAGAGCTGAAAGGGTGAGAAAGAAGTGGGGCATAATTTACCCAAAAATCACAATCATACATCATCATAAAACGAGAAGTAAGATGTGTGACTAAGCTGTTAGTGTACCGTCTCAGACAGAAGCCAATGACTAGCATGCATGTGAATGTATAGGTGTAAAACCAAATTAAGCACTTTAACTTGTTTTCTCCCACTGACCACATGTTAAATTGCTTGGCTGAGAGTCAAAGTGGAAGGCAGAAAAAGGGGAAAGGCGGGTCTCTTTGCAACAGGGTGGAGTGTGTGTTTGGTCACTCATACAACTATACAAGTGTGACCAGAGAAAGCTGAAAATACATGGCTAGTGATGTAAATCCCCAAAGTGTGTTAAACACGAGACCTCAGACAAACATAAAATAAGCAAAGGGTATAATTTGCCTTTCCATTGTAGGAATTTTAAGCACTAAAGTTCAACATTGCCTATAATACCTTTCAGCAACAAATTATTTTTTCATATACAGCAGAACTGAATGCTTTGTGGTGTATTGTGAAATCTCTTCCCTCCTTCTGCTTCCTTTTTGCACAAGAAAATGAGAAATTACGAAGAAAGCAGTTCTTCCATGTTACTTTCAACATCATTTATCTTGCAAAAAGAAACAAATCCTCATGCCCGGAAGCCTTTCATTATGTTATCTAACATTTACTTTCAATAGCTCTACAGTAAATGCATCAGTTGTTTTAGTCAAATTGGGGTTAGTTTACCATGAGGATGACAAACTTTCACATGAGAAAATGAACATCCATAAAAGAATTACAGCATTTATAAAAATAAAAAAAAAGTGCAAAGCTCAGCATGTAAAACCACAAGCTGTTTATAAGAAGAATGGCCATCAAAAACATGTTTTCACTCTGTCAATGCAGTCTACATACATTTTATCCAGAGAAAGACTCATATAAATATTAAGTAATACTTCAAATATATTGTCCCAACACAAAGGACACAATCCTCAAAACCTTGACAACTGAAAAGTCCTATTTGGACAATGACAAATGTGCTCACCTTGTCCAGAATGAACCTGTTCAGGTAAGGCATGTATCCCTGATTGGAAACAGGACCTTCATCATCATCTTTAAAGTGCTCCTCTAGAGCTACAGGATCGTGAGGGATCTTCATCACTGTGCACAGGTTATGGGAAAGCACCTGAAAGACACCACTGAGTTTAACCCCAAAACATATCCAATAATAATTCATTAATGTACATTCAAATTGAATAATCATCATCTAAATCAGTACTTAAAGAAGTAGAAGTAGTTCTTTTTAGCAGAATTCATCAAAGCACTCGATCATTTTGTGTGTATTCATTATATTTTTTTGGAAGAACCTGCATACAGATATTACATTACACAACTATTCCTTATATATTCTTATCATCTTTATAACTTAAGAGGTTAGACAACATATTCATTTAATTTGCAAACCAAAACACCATTTCATCTGAATGTATTTAAAGACACATTTTAAACCAATTCAACGTTTTGGGAAGGCTTAGAAAATAAATCAGTACTTAAAGAAGTAGAAGTAGTTCTTTTTAGCAGAATTCATCAAAGCACTCGATCATTTTGTGTGTATTCATTATATTTTTTTGGAAGAACCTGCATACAGATATTACATTACACAACTATTCCTTATATATATTCTTATCATCTTTATAACTTAAGAGGTTAGACAACATATTCATTTAATTTGCAAACCAAAACACCATTTCATCTGAATGTATTTAAAGACACATTTAAAACCAATTCAACGTTTTTGGAAGGCTTAGAAAAAAACTAAAGGTGTGCAGTTATTCAGGCTGCCGTTATATATTATCCAACACCTCATCCGTAACACACTACATACAATAAGACACCAGAAGAAGTTTTGAAGTTTCGAAACTAGTTTGAAATGCTAAAGAAAAAAAAGTCACTTGAAACATTCTTACATTAATTACATTCAGTGCGGCTACTATGTATGATTCACACGTCCTTAAACTCGAAGAATGTCCTGCACTGAGCCACTGAAACAGCGTTTACACTCCAGTGCCCAAACTTAAAAGAACAAGAACGTTAATTCGGTGGCAAAAACAAACCTTCAGCTGTGACTTAGACACTTTCCCACTTTTATCCACATCCAGGGCTGTGAACGCATGCCATATTGCCTTGAGGAGCTCGTCCCTTAGTCCCATTTTCAGAGGTAGTGTCTCTGGGCTACTGACTAGCGTCGCACTTGATGTGAACGGGTTTCTCATGAGGTTTTACAAAAGAGCGGTCACATGACCTTAGAACCAGAACTAACGGCTCGAGCACCACTCAGCGATGAGCGCGTGCTGCTGAAGGACTTGGCTGGAATCTATGACATCATTAGGCATTTATCAGACTGAGCAAGAATTATAAACCTCCCACAACGAAAAGATTGTTACACAATATTCGTGTTTACAAAGGTTTCAGTAACCGCAAAGGTAGATTACAAGTCAAAATGAGTAACGATTGGAAATTGTGTTCGCCGGTGTTGTGCCCATTTTCGAGGTTAACCACAGAAACGGGTTAGTGTCATAATGTGACAGAGGAACGCATTTTTCACCTTACTGTAGATTTAAATCACAAACATCGTTTAAAATACAAGTTAACTGAGGTTGAGGTGGCGGGCTGCGTGAACCATCAAACGACTGGACCCCAAACTGCTGAGCGAAAAAAAGACTCCACCCAGCCCCTCGTTCAAAAATAACACTATTAAAGTTGATATAAAACACACCAGGCGCGTTTAGGTGAAAACAGTTTATTCAAATGAATGTATTTACAGACAAAATGAAGTTGAGGATTAACAAGACCAAAGAATCTAAACAGTACCCTATATCAATGTAGTTGAAGTAACACAAAAGTCAGAATTATACATTATTAACTAAGGACATCAGATGAACTGGACAAAGATTGTTTTAATGCTACAAACAGGGTTGGAGATTTGAAAGGCATATGTACATTTAAATCATCATTTGCTTCCAGTTAAGCATGGTTTGTCACATGGTTAAATTCAAGATTTGACAAGATTAGACGGAACAAAAAAAAAAGTCTGGATGTAAAATCTGCCCCCAAAAAAAGGTTACTGGATCTTGATGAGATTATGAAATATTGCTTGTTTGGATGGATACAATTATTTAAAAGTAAAAAAAAAAAAAAAAAACAACCCTAACTGGATACAGACAAACATGAATAGCAGCAGGCTTTCTGTGGCAAGCTCACCATTGCCTCCAAAGTGCTCATTTTAATGGCAATCTAACTCAAGCCCCACCAACTTCTGTGGCCCAACAGGCATTTTTCACAGGCAGTAAGGTGCACAAATCTTTGATCTGGTACATTCACATATCAGGGCTCAATAGGGGCACACATCTCCCATTTGGTAAAGAGCAACACTGCACCTCTGAGAAAGCAAGTGCAGGGAGACCATTCTGACCCTTACCTATGGAATCAGTTTTTATTAGACACAAAAATAAAGCAGTATTAACTAGAAGGCCAAATAGGAATGCACCAAAATTCTTTCCATAAGTGTTGCAAAGCTTTAAATCCTGGCTGAAACTGCCTTAACATCAAGTAACAGAATCTGTGTCATATAGAACACCCAAAGTTTGATATAAAAAGTTACTTTTCAGTTTCAATTAGATAAACTAGTCAATAACAAAAAGTCCATTAAATTGTACCTTTGAGGGTGGAATGAGCTCATCCTCTATCTCAGGATCGCTTGCATCCATGTCCTCTCCACATGAGCTACAGAAAGAAGAGACATTATTTGAAAGGATGTAAACACAGACAACAAACTCTAGGGGGCAGCAGAGGGGCCTGACTAAGCACATGGCGCGGTGAGTGAGCGAACACGAGGAACTGGTTCTTCGCCAACTTTTTGTCTTGGAACAGAATTAGTAAACGGATTTAACGAACGGTCCTACAAACCTGTCCAAGATGGCCATAGTGTTTCATTCTAAAACTACTTCACAGCAGTCCGTAAACTAGAGGTTAACTTGTTTAGAGAAAAAAAAAAAGCATGAGGAAAGGCTAGAAAAGACATGTTTAAACTATGGTCAACATACTCATTCCAGTGTGCTCGTTTCCTGTTGTTTCGTTGTAGTGTCGATGATTGCACCAGAATGGAGTCCGGGGTGAAGGGGTTGATGTTTACCAGAGGTGTCTGGTTTCGTCTTCCGTCCAGACAGGCTTTGCTTGTAGAATCAACATTCTTAAACAGGGCGACTCTCCGGCTCGTCGATGCCTTTGTCCTGGCCCTTGACAATAAGCTCTGTAGATACAATGATATGCATAATTAATACTCAATTTATAGAGCATTTAAAACGCATTCTTAAAGCCAATATCAAAGCAGAAGGATTTGACTCAAGTCAGTACACAAAAACGGGGAAAGCCAGAACATAACACATTTCAGATGATGTAATGATGTGCTAGTATCAATAGACTGATTCACTGTTGTTACACAACTTTGTACAGTTAGTTCAATATCTGGGTCACTCTAGGTGTACTCATCCTCCTAGTAAAGGCTCAGAGCTGATTTTCAAATCATAACTACTTCAGTTTATTCTCGAAAAAAAAAAATATATATATATATATAAATAAACTTTTTTTTTTAAATTCTCTATTTTGTATTCAAGTAGAACCGAAGTCAAAATACAATTTTCTGAGTTAACAGAAAATACAATTTAAGTTTACAATTTCGCTTTTTGTATATCAGTGACTACAAACCTTTGGGGTATGAGGTGTATCAAACAGCCGGAGTTTTCTGAAGGTTTTATGGGGCGGTGTATCAGGACAGTCTGGGACAGGAGAGCTGGATCCGTCCATGTCATCGTGAATGTAACTCCTCTCAGGTGAACTGTCGTAAGCCTGTGGACTTTTCCTTGGCGATGGAGAGCTTTTCATGTAAAAGGTTGGTTTTGCCCGAGACGGTGAGCCGAACCCCTCCTCGTCCCAGGACTCGTCGTCGTCTCTGGTTCGGCTGAGCGGGCTGCTGCTGCCCAGGTCCGCCGGCCTCTTATCGCCGCTGCGCCGCATGGACACCGGCGAGTCCAGCTCCGTGAAGCCCGATTCGGCTCCGGTGCTGTTGTTCGCGTCTTCAATGCTGTCTTCTTCACCGTCACTGACCAAAAACTGCAACTTTTGGCGAACGGGTTTAAGATTTGGAGACTTGCCGTGCCTCCGTGTAACGAAATTCATCTTTCCAGGCAAAAGTTCAGTTTTTGTAAAAGGATAACGTAACTTAATAAAAAAAAGACAAAACAAGTAGTTTAAAACTATAAAAAACCAGCCCAAGTGGCTGGCAAATCAGGCAGAGATTATGTAACGTTAGTTTAGATAAACATATCTAATACTGGCCGTGCAATGCAACAACCCGAGCGCTGATGAATAACAGTTAGTCCAGAAAAACGGCGATGTGATTCCCAACTTGTCTGCTACAGATTATCCGAGGAAAATATCTTCTCTCGCTGACCGATATCTCCGTGACAAATCCAAACGAGTTCAGTTCAGTCGCATAAAAACTGATAACGACGTTGTAATCGTATTAACCAGCGTCCACGGCGACGTTTCGGGTGAAAAAATGGCTGCTCCACAAACTTCCAACTGATATCTGAAGAACTAGAAAAAATGAATTCCTGATAGCAATTCCGCGATTTATAAGACGCCGAGCTATGGTAAAATCTCAAAACATGTCAAAGCATCCCAAATCGTGTCATTTTAGACAATAATGTTTACAAAACTAGTTTGAATGGCGAGCTACTCCTCCCACCAACAAGCGTGCTCAAAGTCTTCCCGCGACCGTTGGTCATGTGACGTGGTTTGTACCAATGAGCGCCGACTTCTAAAGTTTAAAAGATAGGAGGTTCTGTAGGTTCTACGTCAACAAGCCCCTCCCCCCAAATGCTCAGGACTGTGACCTCAATTTGGCGCGAATGCTTTTCTTACGACGTAATGGTCTCGTTTGATCTTTCACTTGATCAATGAAATGCTTTAGTGAAGATAGTTTTTCACATTCTACATTGTAATCCGTTCTTGGTGACACAGGAACACATTACAATAATTACATGTTATTATATTTGATGAGATTAATCATGTTATAAGTGTTTACATGGTGGTGTACATTTAATTAGCCACATGGATTTGTTTTGATAGCAGAGCTTCAGTGACTGGCAATCCCTTAACAATAGCAATCACTTAAGCAGTCTTAGTTTCAATTATGAAAATTAAAATCAATGTTTTTTTTTACATTAGCATTAATGGGGGTTTCCAGTCTCTTTGTGTAATGTACATAAACCCCATAATTTTTGGAAAGTCCCTAGAACGTATATGGTGAATATATAATGAATGCTACCAGGTTTTTTTTTATTTTTAAGTTTGATTGTTGTGCTCGAAAACACTGAAATCTGTAAACCGCACTCTGCATTGGGTTATGTTAAGTCAAAGAATACAATACAATGAAATTATTTTTTTCTTTTATCTTTTTTTAATCATAATTGTAGACCTTTTCTTAACAGCTTGCAAAAAATAGCATAATCAAATATATACAGAAAAACTCTACTTTTAAAACGCTTATGTACATATCCACACAAAAATATCTTCTTGGTATATAGCAATCATGATGTCAGCATTATGAAAAACTATGATGCTTGACAGATTTTCAATACCCAGACTTACATACATACATACATACATACACACACACACACACACACATATTCACCCACCCTTGAGACGTTTAGTTCACAGTGATAAGTTTAGCGAGTTAATCGTCCATGCCTGGGGTTTCTCCTTGCTGTATTCTTGATGCTATTCTGATGGCTTCTTCTAGAGAGGGCTGATCACTGAGCTAAGAGGGGGAAATGAAAAAAAAATTAGTAAAACTTATCTAATAAAAATTGTTTACAGATGCAGTACAACAAATTATTTCAAAATTGTCAATCTTGACACATGGTCAACACATGGTCACCACCCTCCTTCTATAAAAAAATAACACACTTACACTTTGTTGGCAATGAGGGCTCATTAATCAGAACTGAATGGCTCATCAGTGTAAAGATCAATACAAGGCTGATTGGACTAGACCAGTTTGCTCAATTAGTTGTCCATTAGTGTAAAAAAGACAAGTGATACAATCACTAATCATAAATATTAGATCATTATCTGCTACTGATCTCAGTTATTATTACACTAAGAGCTGAAATCAATGCTTAATTAAACAGTGTTATTTAGAAGCCACAACTTTAGATTTGAAGAGCATAAAACTGGTGACTGATTTTGTGTACTTCAATTTTAAGTTTACAGTTACACCATTTTGCACTCATTTTCTCTCAATGATCCACAAAACTGTATATCAAGTCATCAGCAAAAAAACTAGTAATTTTTTTTTAAATGAATGCCAGCAGTGTATCAAATACAATTGATCTGGCTTAGTTTAATATAATTTATATCATGCTGAAAAGCGTAGCGCATTTAATTTCAAAAGTTTTCAAACATTGGACCTAGAGAACCACAAAACAAATTCAGTTGAGACCTACATCTATAGCACACATCCTAAAAAAACACACCTAATGGAAAGAAGGTTGCAACCCCCCAACAAACAGTCTAGTCTTTTGACAATAATTGCATGTTCCAGCCTTAAAAGGGGTTTAAAGGTTTATGGCAATTACTGCAGGTTTTATTATGTACTCTCAGGCAAAGTAAACACATGATTTAAGCTTTTGCAACCCATCCTAACTGAGCATGTTAATGTGACTGTGAGAGGAAGATTCCATAACGTGTGTGGTGTGTATATATTGCATACCTGCACAGCTATGTGTGTGCCGTTAGAAGTAGCCACCAGTGTGACTGGGTGTGGGCTTGTGGAAACCACATGCTGTTCCTGATCTTGTACAAGCTCCCCCTCTTCTGTCTGGTACACAGACAGATCTGGCGTCACAATAGCCACCTAAAATGTAAATAAAAAGTTTACACAATAAGCTTAACTTGTATTTATTTAGTAAAATAATAAAATCCCTCAGTAGCATGCAAGCTATTTAAAGGGATAGTCCACCCAAACAAGAAAATTGTTATCTTTTACTCATCCTCATGTCATTACAAACCTGTATGCAGTTATTTCTTCTGTGGAAAAAGAAATAATTTTTTTTTGAAGAATGTTGGTAACCAAACAGTTTGGGGTCCCACTGACATCCATAGTATGGACAAAAATGCAATGGAATTCTGAAATGGTAATTGATTGCCAGCATTCTTCAAAATATCTTTTTTTGTGTGTTCCACAGAAGGAAGAAATTCATACAGGTTTGGTACAACATGAGGATGAGTAAATGACAGAATTTGAATTTTTTGGTGGACTATTCCTTAAAGTAACAACACTTACCTGTCCCTCTGTGCAGTCTGCAGACACCATAGTAATAGAATGTGTTCCTCCTGAGGAAAGCATCGCTTCATGTGCTGGGATGGTTATGGTAGTTCCTTCTTGTGTTACCATGGTAATTGTGCCTCCCATAGCCTGCATATCTGCTTGAGACAGAATCTGAGAGGGGAAAGACAACAAGTATTTACTTGGAAAATATCTGCATACCACCACCTTTCCGTAGATTGTACTCTAGTTCTACAAAATACAAGTACAGTACTGAAGTATGGAATAAAATAGGTTCTGATGATGTTGTGTGTGATCAATATAGGACTTGTGGGAATTTATTTAGGTCATCACTGACCTGTTGTGTGCCATCCTGAGATATGAGAGCCACATGATGTTGTCCCATGACTTCTGATCCTGACACTTGCTCAGACCCAGAGTCATCTTCCACCACTGCTGGAGTGTACATTAACCCAGGGTCATCAATAGCCTCTGAAAAAGATGCCCATTCAAAATTCAGATTTTCAGTTAATATTAGATGGTCATAGTTTGTAGCTGGAGATTTAAGTAAACAGACCTGCTGGGGGCTCAAAATAAGCATCTTGTTCTTCTTCTATGGGCTCGGTGTCATTGTGCGCTGTGCGTTTATGCATGGCTAAGGTTGAAATCTGCTTATACGTCTTTCCGCAGTGATTACAGTTGTAGGGTTTGCAGGGAGTATGAACTACATGGTGCTTGTACAGGCTGGAGTACTCAGTGAAACGCTTGTCACAGCCAGGAACAGTGCAGACGTACGGCTTCTCACCTGAATATGATGAGACAAACTTACTTTTGAGCTTACGGTATGAAATTATATCTTATTTTTGTGAGAAAAAAATGCTTGCAACCTCAAAGCTTCTGATTTCTTTAAAATGTATGCTTTATTAGATGTTGGAAGCAGTCAGAGCTGATAGGACAGGTACCTGTGTGAATCCTCATGTGGTTTTTGTAATTGGTGGCACTTGCAAAGGCCCTTCCACAGCTGGGTTCAGAGCAGTAGTACGGCCTCTCGCCTGTGTGAGTACGGATGTGGACTTTACGAATGTTAGATGTGGTGAAAGATCTCCCACAGCCTTCAAATGGACATTTAAATGGTTTTTCGCCTACAAAATGACAAATTTAAAAACAGACCAAAATTTGACAAATATTTTTAAGACAACTTAATTTTATAAACAAGATGAAACCATTATTACAGGCTGGTTAAATATGCCAAACACCTGTATGTGTTCTTGTGTGTTTTTGTAAGTCTCCAGAGGTTTTGAAAGACTTGAGACAGTTGAGCTCCTGACAGCGATACGGTTTCTCTCCCGTGTGTGTTCGGACGTGACTCTTGAGACCATACCCTTGAAGACAGCAGAAAGAAAAATAATGCATGTACAAAAAAACTTGGAAGTAATAAAAAACAACTGTTTTTGGGAAAATCTTTACCTGTTGCAAACTTTTTGCCACAACCCATATGTTCACAAATGTATGGCTTATCCCCAGTATGCGATCTTTCGTGTACCTACAAATATTTAGAAAGCCACATGAGTTCAGAAGTGGATAATTAACAACAGAGACAATGTCACATCTGTGAAATATGTGTATTGTATCTCTTCTGTCTTGCATGAATTCACCTTCAGATGGTGAGCAGTAGTGTAGAGTTTTCCACATCCCTCATGTTCACATCTGAAGGCCTTTTCCCCAACATGCTGGATTCTAGGTGACCGGTCTTGACCCTGCAGTACAATCTAAGCGCACAAAAGTGGGTCACTGCTTCATTAACATTCAAAGCATTACGATTATAAGTTACTTATTTAATAAATGCAGAAAATAGTATCAGTAGAGACAGTACCTGCATATGCACACCATCAGAGTCCCCTCGACCAAGTAACCCAGTACTGCATTCTGTGGCCTCCATCTGCAAACACACACAGATAACACTTCCTCTAACATGAACTGTAATATGATACAAATTAACATAAGGAACATCATATACAGTACACAAAGTATGTACACAAGTGTAAATTGGCTTAGCATTCCATTGCACATTCATTTCCGTCATAATAGGGGAACTAAACCATATAAACTCACGCAATAAATAAGAATACAGAATAAGTGACAAGTTAATGATCTTAACCTTAGTAGAGTATTGCTCCAGCACACTGATGGTCTCAGCGTCAATTGTGCCCTCTGTCTGTAAGTCTGCTACAGTACCATCTGCCTGGATAGCCAAGATGGTGTTGGATGGAGGCATATGTTGAATATATGCAGTGGTGCCATCCTCCAGCTGAACAGCCTGTAAACCACCCTGATCATATGTTTCTAAAAAGATTAAATACATTGAGATTTACTTATTTGATTTTATCATAAAGAATCCAACATTTGTGTCTGTATGATACACAATA